TTATAGTACAATCGAGAAAGAACTTTTAGCCATCGTCTGGGCAGTTAAATATTTTCGTCCTTATTTATTTGGAGTAAAATTCAAAATAATTAGCGATCACAAACCCCTTTAATGGTTATTTTCTCTTAAAGATCCCAATTCTAAACTAGTTCGTTGGCGCTTAAAATTAGAAGAATATGATTATGATTTAATCTATAAAAAAGGCAAAATGAACACGATCGCAGACGCACTCTCCCGTATTGAATTAAACGCATTATAACCCAATGACCAAAATGATCTCGACAATATTTTAGACGACTTAGATAACATTTCGCTACTAAACAACCCTGACGAAGACACTGAATATCCAAATCCCGAAATAGAAGAAATAGAAAATTTAATAAAAACTCATGCAGAAAATTTCGAGTCATCTAAAGACGAAAAAATAATTATTCACAGTAATATACTATTAAACGACCCCAACATTAATCCCTCCACCGACAACGAAACAGTTCATTCAAGTCACGAAGATCCCGTAATTAATGCCCCTTACACTGAAAAATGTTTAAACAGTTACAAAAACCAAATTATAATTTGAAGTAAAATTATAAACGAGAATAATTATAAAATATATAGAGAAAAAATATTTGATAAAAACAGAATTCATCTAACTATTCCTAAAGATAATAACGAAACGCTACTAACCAAATTTATTAAAGAGAATATGGCACCAAAACAATCATATTGTCTTTACTTTAAAGACAAATCACTCGAACCCCAGTTTATCACAACCATTCAAAAATATTTTAAAAACAACGCATTTGTATTAACAATTTCAAACACCTTCCTAACAGACGTAACAATGGAAGACGAACAAAAACTAAAATTACAACAATACCATGAAACAAAAACAAGCCATCGTGGAATTCAAGAAAATATTAGTGCAATTAAAAAATCATTTTATTGGCCCAAAATAGATCAAGATGTTCGCGATTACGTAAATTCATGTGAAATATGCCAAAAGACAAAATACGAAAGACATCCAAATAAATTAATTTTCAAACCAACCCCTTTCGGTTACGAACCTTTTGATCATTTATACGCAGATACTTATAAAACACACGGACAATATTTTGTTACCATAATTGACAGTTTTTCAAAATTCGGACAAGCTTATCCAATTAAATCTCCTTGTGCAATAGAAATTGCTAACAAACTATTACAATTTTTTCAACCACTTCGGTCTTCACACATGAGATAGAAATTCATTATACCACTCTTTATAATCCAAACAGTAACAGCCCTGTGGAAAGATTTCACTCGACGATAGCAGAAACAATATTAACCTTAAAAAACTCTAAACCCAACGAAACAATAGAAACCTTAATTAATTATGCTCTACTTTCTTACAATAATTCAATTCACAGTTCTACCAACTATACACATTTCCAAATAACTCGTGGTAGGCTAAACTATAAAAACCCATTTGAACTAAATGAAAACATTAAAATTTCCCAATATATGCAAGATCACACAGATAACTTAAAAACACTTAATGAACTAATTCGTGAAAAATTAAAAAACAATCAAGACAAGAGTTTAAGCAAAATAAATCAAAATAAAACAGAAAATATAGAAATAGACCCCACGAAAGCTTTATATAAAATTAAAAAAGTTAATGCCTCACAAAAGAAAATATCAAATCGTTACGATAAAGTAGAAAACCCTACGGTTCTTGACAACATTAAAATAAAAACTAAAAATAAGTCTTATCATAAAAAATTACTTAAACCACAACGTATTGTTTCAGGTCAGAATGCACCTGTACCTTATCCTTTACGCTCTAGGATTAGTCCAGACGCTAGAAATAAAAGAAATAAAAAACACAATATTACCCGTACAATTAGGAAAATCTAAAATAATAACTAATAAGCATACCTTTATATACCATTTAAACCTTACTAACCCTGAAAAATCCCTAAATCAAATTGCTAATACCCTTTTAGTTTTAGAAAATAATATTAGTACACAAATAGATAATCACCTTTCTATATTTTTAAAACAAAAAATTATTAACGCAATGTCGTTAACCGACATTATTAGAAATAAAATTAAAATATTTACTCCTCACAATATAGTCAAAAGAGGATTAATTAATGGTGTAGGTAAAGTACAAAAATGGCTATTTGGTACATTAGATTCTGAAGATGAAAAATTCATCTCAAATTATTTACAAAATTTGGATGTGAATGAACAAAAAATTTATAATACTATAAATAATCAACAAACTGTTCTCAAGCAGATTTCGAACACGTATAGCTCTCACTTTAAAGAATTAAATGATAATCAAATCATCCTAGAAAATCAAGTTAAATATCTGTCAAAAGAAGTTAATGGATTTATAAATTTAGAACAAGCTTTTTCCTTTTCGAATATCATAGATAATTTACTAATGCAACTTCACTCTATTCAGTATATAGTTAATAACTTAGAAATTGCAATCTCCTTTGCTAGATTGAATATTCTTCATAACTCAATTATCAATCCAGAACAATTAAAATTATTAATTAATAAACTTGAAAATATTTATCGACCAGAACAAATACCTACGTTAAAAGAATTATTAAATTACTACTACTTATTCTCAGTTCAAGTAATTGTCCAAGACAAAATAATTTTATTTAAAATTCACATACCCATTGTATCTTCCCAGTTTAAATTGTTCCGCCTCTATCCTATCCCAATAAAAAATGACCATTATTCCTGAACAACCTTACCTTTTGCTCAATACAAGAGACTTTTGGACAACATCGCAACAATGTCCTGAAATAGAAAATTGGTATTTCTGTCGCCAAAACGATCTACACAAACACCAACCATGCCTCGCAGACCTCATCAGAAACGGCAAAATCCTCTGTCAAAGTACAAACATTCATTATTCCGAAACGAGCGTAACCCAAATCAATTCTAAAGATGTACTTATCATCCCTGCAAGAAATACGAAAATCGAATCATCATGTGACATCGAAGGCATCTACGAAACATCCAAACCAAGCATTTTGTCAATGAAAAAATGCAAAATTTCAATAAATGGAAAATTCTTCCAAGCTGAAGACACCAACCATGAAGAATTCATCTTTGAATTACCCAAAATAGAACTTCCGCACATAGAAATCAACTCAACAAATAAATCCTTCTACCTAAAACAAATAACAAGTGAAGACATTGATCATATCAACAGAATTGCAAATAATTTGCAAATCCCTGATTTAAGTAGCAGTTCAAGCACAAGTCACCCATGGATCAATACTTTCCTATTTATAATGGCAGTCCTCAGTACATCAGGCATCTTGTTCTACATTAAGATCTACAAACCCCGACGTCACCAAAGAAAATTGAAGCCACCCACAACTTCGCAGAAAATAATGAAACCCTTATTTTCCGATTTAGGAAGGGAGGAGTTATGTACTTAAAATTCTCTAAGACAATAAGTAATATAATCAATATTCTTTTTCTAGTATTTCCTAACGTAATTAAATTAATTGTTATCACTTCCTAACAATATTCAAATGACATATTTATGTATCCCTTGACACACCATTATTTGTATAAATATCAAATGCACTCTTGTAAGTTAAGTTAGTTTACTTAAAATCTCTGCTAGTGCAGGTTATTGTAACTCTAATTTCAAATAAATAGTTTTTAAAAAACAAGTTTTCATTACTGAAAAACTTAATTCATGTTACTATGAGTTTCATGGATAACTTGACAGAATAAATTTTTTTAAATATTATTATTGTTTATTTTTAATTTGGCTACAAAATCGTTCCTCCTTAAACTTTTTCGATAAAATTTAGTAAAGGGTCGTTTTGAGGGGAGGTGAATCCAGTGCCGTGCAAAGATTTTTTTTAAATTGCTAATATGCATTTTTAAAAATTTACTTTCAAAAATTGACAAAGTAGGCCTGGTATTTTGTAAAAATATATGCTCCAAAAGTACAGTTTATCAAAATCTACACTTTCAAACAAATCCGGTTAAAATCACACAATAAATAAAAGGGGTGAGTCGCAAACAAATGGGTATTTATATACTACATAATATATTATTTAGTATTTGGTATATTTTTTTAGTTTAGTTTACTTTTCTCAGACGGTAATTTATTAATTTAAAATAAATCTTATGGTATTTTGGCAGACCTTGTATAAGTGACATTCATATCTTTATTTTTTGCTTTTAAACATGACCCAAAAAATTTCAAATATTTTACATAGCTACTACGTACAATCAACATATTTAGGAAGTAAAGTAGCTATTGTACCTGTAAAAACTACAATAATTATTCATGACGTACTGTAATTTTAAAATCACACCGTTATATGAAAGAATATCTGTTTTGTGGAATGATTTAATGTTTTTTGAAATAATTTCTAGCAGTTCTACTGGCATTAAATACCATTGTTTAAAATGGTATTTTAAATACAATTTTATCATCGAAAGAAACTTTTTTAGATTTATTTAATAATCTTTTTTTTAATGTCAGTAAAACTTCTAAGAATTGTTAAAAACAAACATAAAATTAATCCACAAAACAGATATTCTTTCAGCTTTTTGGCAAATGCAAATAATAACGTGTGGTCAGTTATTTATTTTCGACATTTTTAATTAATATAAACTTGAATCTTTCGGAATTTTGGCAGACCTTGATTTTTATAACGCTTGAATTTCATATTTTTCATAGTATTTGGATATATTTTCAAACAATCAGTAGCGATAATTTTCGAAAACATAATTGAAATAAAACAATATGCATTTAAATTTAGATACAGCTTGCTAGTTTTTCGTCAATACCTCTCTCTCAATATTAAAATTTTTCTTTTGGATAATGTGTAAAAAGTCGTTTTATTAGACCTGTTAAGCATCTTTGACAAAGCCAATTTCGTGTTCAAATTAAAAAAAAAATGCTGTCTTAAAAACCATATCCAGTGTATAAATAGTTCAGTCGTGAAATTAATAAACATACAGTGAAAACCTCAACGTTTTAAAGTGCTAAAATTAGACCTGTGGGCCAGTCTGGTTCGCGTTGCCTTACGTAGAGTACGTTGGTTAAAATTTTTTCGAGAAAAAAATAGCATTAGTTGATCGCATGGGCTTTTGTTAGTTCAAGTTCCGCTAAAGATGGCCGAAACAATTGAAGAAGAGTACGAGGGCGATTTTCGGAAGAAAACCGTCCGGACCAGCTTTAAAATCCAAGAGGTAAGGGAAACACGACTAGCCGCTATATTTATAACCAGTCAAAATTATTATGTATTGCTCACGAATTGAAGCTTATGTTTATGCCCCAACTGTTTACCATTTATGTAGCCGCTGCGATTTTTTTCTGGCATTCGCTAAAATTTATTTTATGTTATATTTTTGTTTTTACAATAAATACAAGCTTGTTTTACCACAAATAAAACCTTATGCGATTTATTTTTAGATGGACTTTTTGTTTTTCTAACAAATTGTGCGATTTTCGTTTCGCCAAGGCAATTGCAAAATATCTATTTTAAAATATATATGTTAAATTTAATTTTAAAATATATGAATACCTACCTAATACATTTATGAAAAATATATATTTTAAACCTTTTATTTATTAGACACTAAAAATAGACCCTGTCTAGGGTCCGTAGGGCCAAAAAACGGTATAATAATACTGAAAATGGGTATCTACATTTTTTTAGGAAAAAAAATTAACGCTGTAAAAGTGAAACTTCTCCGCAGTATGAATACACAATCATACCTGGAAAGGGGTTAGAAAATTGTTTATATTTCTTGAAATAATTTTTAATAAGCATAGGTACCTACACCATCCATTAATTATTTAATTTCGTCAGATTTACACTCCAGGCCCGAAACCAAATATTTTGTTAACCAAAGTATGAAATGATTTTCTTATTGTAATCTCTCTAAATATTGGGTGGGCCGAAAATTGCGAGTTTTTAAACTCGCAATTTTCGGAGTTTAAACTCAAACACGCCAGTCTAAAAAAGTTGTCCATTAATGCCCTAATGCCTCAGCTGAGGTGACCTTAAAAATGGATTTTTTGGATACATTTTAACAAAGCTCATTCCCATTTTTTTTCTTATTGTAATCTCTCTAAATATTGGGTGGGCCGAAAATTGCGAGTTTTTAAACTCGCAATTTTCGGAGTTTAAACTCAAACACGGCAGTCTAAAAAAGTTGTCCATTGATGCCCTAATGCCTCAGCTGAGGTGACCTTAAAAATGGATTTTTTGGATACATTTTAACAAAGCTCATTTCCATTTTTTTTTTTTTCTTAATAATTTTTTATTTAGTTTCGCTATCCATTTTTTTTGCTAATATCGGCCTATCGGACTAAGAGAACGGGCCCGTCGCGACGGACCCTAATGTAAACTGGGAAATTAGGAAATATTGCAGCCTTTCGTTTGATTTAGTGTTTTGTATCAACCCAGAACCTTATTGGGGGTCCCTCCAACCCATTTTTGTATATAAAATCATTTCTCATTTCATTTTTAAAAAGATTTTAATCAAATAATGGTAAATTGTTTTGTCCCGCTAATTTAGATTTAATATATCTATCTCTGGATAACTCATAACACACTTTACTAGATGCCTCAGTAATTAACTTTACACACCGTTCTGCCACAATATCATCTAGTGCTTCATTTGTTAATTTAGCAGTTAAGGGTGGTTCGGTACTATTCGTTTTCAAGTCTATTGAATCCGTGTAGTTTTTATTATGTAAATTATTTAAGGAGACCCTTAAAACCTACATTTTTTATTTTTCTCATAGCTAGCTCTCTAATGTGTAGACGTACGTATGTTCGCTTTCCACAAGTGCCTTGCCTCATTATAAATGTATGGTTTTGTTTTGATTTTAAACCAAACCGGATCCGGTCGAGCATATACCTTTAGAATAAATTCAGTCAAACAGCCAGGTTAAAGAACGGACTATCAGTAGCCACATATAGGCGTAGCACCCTGTTAGCTGTAGTAAAAAAGCGTGCATGTGTCATATTGCCGGTTTTTTTCTCTCCCAAGCCAGAGGAAAAGTGTATGGTTTGAATTTCCATACAAATGTTGTACAAGTACTGCTGATCATCTGATGTAAGTTTGAGAAGAGCTGTATGCACTTATGGTTTTAAAATTTACAATTGGCACATCCTCACAGAGTTTTAAAAGGGATCCAATTAGCTCCGAAAAGCTATTTGGTCATTTCGTATCGCCATCTTAATTTTGTATTAAGTGCCTAAAAGGTAGCTAATTGGCATGAAGAAGACATAGGCACCATTGAGGACGCCTCTTAATATCATTTTCTATTAATCGAATCATCCTGTATTAACATTGTCACAACCTATCATTAAGTAGGTAAAATCAGTCTCATAGTTATTTAAACACAAAAACCCTTTATAGACTCGTGGGCTAAGTATATCTTACCAGGTTCTTTTATAATTGTTATGTATTCTTCTTGTTTAATTATCCTCTCGACTATTAAAGTATAAACTTTTGTCTTTATTTTATTGTGTTTGTTGAAGCTTCTTTGTTTTTAGTTATTTATTTGATGTTTTCTTTTGGTATTGACTGTTCTACACTGTGTCCCCCAGTATAATATAGGGCAAAATGAATTGACGAGATGAAATTTTTTTTGGATTCCAGCAGTAGACGCTATGGAAATATCAATTTTAATTAAAATTAAATCTTCGCTGATTACATATTTTTTCATCATTTACTTATTTAAAGTTTTTTAAATTTTTACTTGTTTAAATATCAGTATAAATACACTTAGACTTTAATAATGGTGTTGTTATGGGTCATAGAAAATCAAGTAGCCATGACTGCAAAGTAACAACAAATCCATATATAAAAGACAAATCTTTTAACGAGCTATAAGTATAAGTGTTTTAATTGGAAGCGAATACAATATGAAAACTAATCGAAAATTTAAGTGCGATCACGAAGATAATAAAAAAAATAATGTGCTTGATGTGGTAAGACGATAGTTTTTGGAAAAAATAATGCTTCAGCATTTTATAACCCCAAAAAAAAATTCAATTCAAGATTTCCGGTCTCAATTTCTAATTCCTGTCGGCTTACACTTTCTTAAAAAAAACTGAATGTGTTTGAAAGAAATTTGCCGATAAGGCTAAATTTTGAAAATATAGGTACAAATTGTGAAAGAAACACGCGCTGCGCTACTAATTGCACGCAATGCAGTTGTGTAATATGACGGAAAGTAATAAAGGACACAAAAAAGTTCAAAAAACGGAACTTAGTTTGCAATAAATTTTCAAAGATAGCTACTTTGAAAATTTTTTGACATTTCAAACAGCCATTTAAATTATGTTATTTTTCGTCATGTGACACAAATCACTCAATCATTTCAACATTTAACTGATAACAACACTCAGGGAAGTTTTTAATCACTATGACAATTTGACACCAAGACTGTCAATTTCATAAAATAAATTTCAATATGTCACGTTTTGGTAATTTGAATTTTAAAGCTATAAACGCGCTTATTAAAGAAAACATTCCCAAAAATACTAAAAGTTGTCATAAATATACGTGGGGGATATTTATGCAGTTTTGCTTTGAACGCAAATATTAATTAAAAGAGAATAGAAGCGAAGAAGAACTGGCATTAATATTAAAAGGGCGGTCAATATGAGGAAGAAAGATGGGACCGAATTTAAAGAAGCCATGTGGAAAGTTACGTGTGAACTTTTGCAACAGAAATACTATAATGAATATAAGATAATGATTGAACTGTGTAACTGCATATTATTCACATAAACCTGCCCGAGATGCCCGCGATGCAACCAGAAAGAAACTGCAAGCATATTCATGTAAACGTAAGACCAGTTCAGTTTTAAGGCGGCTGCACAATTACTCGGAAACAGAAACGAAAATGAGAACGGTAACGAGAAAAAAATTAAACGCACATAAGTCAATGTACACATGCACAACAAATTTTCGGTAACGAGAACGAGAAACATCCCGCGAACGGAAACGAGAAAGTTGGTTAAGTTTTAAGTTTCTCGTTCCCGGTAGCCAATAAACGCAGCATTATCGAAACCAATAGAAAATGAGTTTAATCTGTTAAATTATTTCTGACATTCGCGCTATTTGTTTTATCAATACGTTCTGTGTTAATAAATTAATGAAAATGAACGACGAATTAATTATTTTATTAGTAAAAAGTTCCCACATCTGTACGATCGCCTGTTAAAAGAGTATAAAGATTAATTATTAAAGAAAAATAGTTAGCTTTTAATAGCTGAACATCTGCAGTATGATCGTACGTATATTTCTATTATAAATACCAAATAAATTAAATATCCCCAAAATATATTAACCTAAGAATTAAAATAATTATGTTAATTGTGAATCTTGTGAATCTTCTCGTTTTTGTTTTAGTTTCCGTTCTCGTTTTCGTTAGCGTTCCCGTGTAATTGTGCAGCCGCCTTTATTTTTTTTGTCTGAAATAAACCAAATAATACGTACTTTTAATAAATAAATAATCGTTGTGTTGCGAGTTATTTGATTTTTTTATTAAAAAAAATTTTCTGACCGAATATCCCTCTGACATTGACAAATGCCTCATAATTTTATGTCGAATTTCTCAAGCACGTTTGTTGATAACACCCCTCCGCCTTCGGCGTCGGGCTTACCATAATTTTATGACAATCAAAAGCACGTTGCTTTTGATTGTCATAAAATTATCTCGTGCATTATCAATGTCCTATAGGATATTATAGCTGAAAATTTGCCAGCGCTGTCTCCAGTTGGTTGGAAAAGGTAAAACCAATCGATGTACAAAAACTATCGAAATCATTAGAAGTAAAATAAATGAAAACGAAAATGGAAGTTTGTGTGCCTATCACAAATTTGTTCACGGTTTCAAGAGTTGTGCTTTACCCAAAACCCAAAAAGGCGTTTTTTTCACTAGAAAAATTTCTAAAATGCTATGCGGGTAAAACGCGGTACCCAAAAACATTTTAAGGGGGTCCACAATTTTGGAGACATCTACAAAGTAAGCACACATTGTTTGGTGACGAACATAATTCCGAAAACAGACCTGTTATTTATGTTGACGCAGAAGAACTAATTGTGAAAGTGATCGAAGAGCAGATGTAGAACAAAACTTTTTAAAATCCGCTCGTCAATGGTTATAGAAAATTATCTACGTGACCTAGAAGAAGATGGCGTAGAGGAAATGAATGTAAAAG